ATGCATATCAATCGAAAAAAGGAATTTCTTCATAGCAAACTCAGCTGTTCGGAAGAAAGCTCACCTAGGTCTCATCTGTCAGGCATTTCATTTTCTTTCTCTGTGAAGAAATAGTTAGTTCTGGGTGTGCTAATCTGATTTCTCAAATAGTTTAACATCTCAGAGAGAACATTTGACCTCAAACAATATATTCATATGGCAAATCTGATTGTCACACAGTACCTTAGGGGATAACTTACACTGGGCCCTTAGTATCTGCTGGGGTTTGATTCCTGGACCTGCTGTGGATGCTCAAATCCCATGAAATACAATGAGATAGTAGAATTGTGTCCATTACATAAAATGGCAAAATCAAGGTTTGCTATTTAGAATTTATACTTTTAAAAATATTTTCAAGCTGTGAATGCTTGAATCTGTGGCTAAAAGATCCATGGATATGGAGGCCCTACTGTATTTTAGTACTGTTTACCTCCAAATGCAAGAAATGTGAACAGATTTGTGGATTTCAATAGATAAAATAATGTATCAATATGTATATATGTGTGTGTGTGTCCGTTTGACGGTAAGAAAGGGTTAAAAGAAAGTTTCTACCTTTGTATAGTAGGTGCTGCCATCTGCTGTCCCCTATTTTGTTCATAGTTTTCCTTAAATAAAAACACAGCCAACACTTTCCCATGTTTCCATTCCATTCCCTTCCTCTGATGACATAAACCAGTTGGCGCCTGTTGCCCATATTTCTTTTTTGCCTCATTCCCCAGGTCTCAGGCACTCCCTTTATACCTCCCACGCAACCATTTCTTTCTCTTGTTTCCTTGTCTGCAGAAGTCAGAACAACTCTATCACTGTGGTGGCTCTTGGCTAATATGTGAAAAAATACATCAGTGGATTTAGGATAGATTGGGGGAAGTTAACAAATGCCCTGCTAAAAGAGGCTGCGGAGGGGAAACCTTCTGGCATGGGTGGGTTTGGGAAAACCACTGAAAAAATTTGAGGTGATTACTGAAATATTGGCAACTTCCTAAAGCTGCTTTTACAGGAAGTATGCTGTGACACAAAGCCAATCCTAAAGTCAGTATCCTCTTGGGCCCTATTTAGACATCGTTGTTTTTAGCACGACTATCCGAATAATCTCACTCACACATCTCAAATTTGTTGTTCACACTGTTTGTTTGTTTTTAAATCAGAACTGCATCTCTACTCATCTCTGTGTTTCTTTTGTTTTGGGGTTGTTGTTTGTTTGCTTTTTTGCTCACATGTGCCAGCACTGTGAATAAAGATGGAGTCGACGATGCAGGTATATTTGAAGCACATTCAAGGCTTGCAGATTTTTATCCTGGGTCTATTCACATGGGTTATTCACACAGCTGACAGTGTGAATCTTTTAGGAAAACTGGGGGGGGGGGGAATCCCGACATCAATTTTCCTGGTTTAAGTGGGTTTTTGGCAGCCTCCCCCCCAAAAAAAAAAACCTGAATAGGATGCATTCGAAATGCATGTGAACAACAAAGATTCAACCCACATTCTACCGGGTTTATTTTCATTATCTGACTAATCCCCTGGTGACTCAGTGCTTGCCTTGGTGGAGGCATCATAGTAGTGTAACTGCTTTTTTTGATGTTGCACAATCATTGCCTGATGGTGCCTAGGCACTGTTCCACTCTTCACCCCCAAATGGCCACTGATTGTTCAAAGGGGCACTGGAAAGGTGGCCCACTGCTGCTGCAACCACAGATGGTACTAAGTCATTGGCTGGAACATACTTGGACACTTGAATGGGATGAAGAGGGGAAGGACAGAAGAGAGACCACTGTTTTGAGGTGGCAGGAATCCAGAATGAGGTGCAAAGAAGAGGGGATAAAGAATTAGTAAAGGAAATGGTGCTGAATGTTGCTGTTGTTGTTGTTAGTTGCATTCGAGTCAACCTCAACTTATAGTGACCCTGTGGATGAGACATCTCGAAGCCCTCCTATTCTTTACTACTCTGCTTATCTCTTGTAGATTCAGCTTTGTGACCTCCCCGATTGAGTCTATCCATCTGATATGTGGTCTTCCTCTCTTTCTCCTACCTTTTACCTTTCCCAGCATCATTGTCTTTTCTAATGAGCTGTGCCTTCTTACAATGTGGCCAAAGTATGACAGCCTCAGTTTAATCATCTTGGCTTCCAGGGAGAGTTCAGAGTGTTGACACTATACATTGGCTATTTACAGAGACACTTAGTTCTGGAATGGAATGGTTTGTGTGGTAAGAAATGGCTATCATCCATGAAGTTCTGTAAAGCTGAAAAAAATATGGTGTGTGGATCTGAAGGAACTGCTTTTAAGTTTACTAAAGAATAAGATTTTACATGCCTTTGTAATAGATTGTATTCCTAATGGAACCTGTTCCTAAACTGAGATGTGATTACTTTGAATGTAGCCAAAGGATATATTCCAGTACCCCAGAGAAGCAGCTAAACTCAGCCACTGGTTTGGTTTGCTCTTTCCACAGCCTGCCAACTGGGATTCTATCGCCACTCACTGGCAAGTCAGCGGTGCCTCAAATGCCCACCCAACAGCTCTTCCAGTTTCCAGGCAGCCACTGAGTGCCCCTGCCTCAAAGGTTTTTTCCGGACGCCCACTGAGGACCAAACTGTTGCCTGCACCCGTAAGTCCTAGATGGGAGAACAGTACATTCACAGAAGGGAATTGGCCATTTGCCCCCCAAAAGTTAAATTTGTATGACACTTCTCCTCCAGTCTCAAGATGGTGTTATGATCCCTCCATTTTATCTTCACAAAAACCCTGCATAGATAGGGAAGGTTGAGAAAGTGTGTGTGTGTGTGTGTGTGTGTGAGAGAGAGAGAGAGAGAGAGAGAGAGAGTGTGAGAGAAAGAGAGAGAGAGAGAGAGAGAAGCCTAAAGTGACTATTTGAGTGACCTTAATGGCAGAAATACTGCATCAGTTTCTCCAATCTATCCATTGTAGTCTCCCATCCTATGTGAGTAGGGTTGCTATTTGTCCCAGAAGATCTGGAAAATCCCAGATTGAAGGGACTAAAAATGTCCTGGCTGGCTTGGCCAGTTGAAACAGTAAATCCTGATTTCTGCTTCATCACAGGCCAATGAGTAGGTTAAAATATGACTGTGATGATGAAGGAAACCATGCAAGAAGATTGGCACTGGCAGAAGCCTCATCCTGCCCTGCAGACTCTGGTTGCTACTGCATGGGGTAGCATTGCCACCTTATTCTTCCACTCCCTCCCCACTTCCCCTGACAGGCCCAGAAAATAGGAAAGGAAAAGAGGAAAGAAAAGATGGCCTTGTATGGTGATTATGTCAGTGGCTTGAGCTTAGGGCTAGGCAGCACACATCCAAACAGCTTTGAAAGGGAATCCCTTTACTCTTTGGGACTGGTTGGAAGCTTTCCTGTCTTCACACCAGCTGCAAAGGGGGGGGAAGGGGGAATAAAAGACTTCTTAGCTTGGTTCTGGTACTGAGGTTGAAACAAAATGGTAGAAAAAGTGCAATGCTTAATGTGTTGAATTTGTGTCATCAGAATGCAAAGTAATAATATGCATAAGTACATTAATTTGCATAATATTCAAATTAGGTGCCCAGCTATGAAGGACTGGAAAATGGGCAATCTTACATGGGAGTGGTATGAAGGTGGTATAAAGGAGCTTTCCTGCAACACCTCTCAGTTGATCCATGGATATTTGGGTTGTGGAGAAGAATAACTGCACCAGGACATCACCCAGAAAAAACAATTTTTATGCAACATTCTTATGCAGTGCTGGAAAAGCAATAGTTCTTCTAATGTAACTAATGTAACCCTTATCTCACTTGTGGAAAGCCATAACAAGATTCCAGTGCTTTGCATGGTGGTGATGTGACAAATGAACATTGATTCAGTAGCCTCCAGTCCTTGTGCCCTATATGTATGTTGGAATGCATTAGGTACTTTCTGTCCTTTGCATGTGGGCAACTTGTGCACAAGGGCAGGGTAAGAAAAAAAAGATATAGACCTCAAGGCAATCACAGTATCACACTTTGTACTGATCATGTCAGTAATAGCAATAACAATAGCAATAGCTTCATTTATATATCACTTCATCCTACCTAAGCAGTCTCTAAGTGGTTTACAACTGTAAGCTAATTACCCCCAACAAGCTGGGTACTCATTTTAGCGATCTCAGAAGGATGCAAGGCTGAGTTGACCTTGAGCCCCTGGCTGCAATTGAACTCACAACCTTGTGGTTTGTGAGTGAGTGGCTGCAGTACCAGCATTTAACCACTGCACCACCAGATTAAATGTGCAGATAAGACTAAAACATTCTGAGCCCATTTTGGTGGGAGAGATTAGATTGTAAGCACAAAAGCAGTCTCTCTTTTGTCTTTTCAGGTCCTCCTTCTGCCCCACACAATGTTACCTTCTCCCTTGCAGGGAGCCAGGTCTCACTTTTGTGGCAACCTCCCATTGATCAAGGTGGGCGCAGTGATCTCTCCTACAACGTCTCCTGCCAACGCTGCAACTTCCTGGTGTGTGAACCCTGCAAGAGTGACGTGGTTTTTTCCCCCAGTGCGCTAGGCCTCACAAGGCCAAATGTAGTTGTGGATGGCTTGGAAGCTTATACCAATTACAGCTTCACTGTACGGGCTCACAATGGTGTGTCAGGGCTTAGCTCTGCCTCACACAAAAGTACCAGTTCTCCCATCTGGGTGACTGTAGGCCATGCAGGTGAGTGAATACAGGAAAGGGGTCTTTCCAAACTGTGGAAGTGAGCAAGCAAAGCAAAACAAAAAAAAAAAAAAAAAGAAGAAGAAAAGAAAAAGTTTATTGATACTTGCACTGTAGTTTTCCTTTGTTGTTGGGTGCTTTCAAGTCATTTCTGACATATGGCAACCCTAAGCTGAACTCATCATGGGGCTTTCATAGCAAGATTTCTTCAGAGGAGGTTTGCCATAGCCTTTCCCCAGAGGTTGAGAACATGTAACTTGCCTAAGGGCACCCAGTGGATTTCATGGCTGAACAGGGATTTCAACCCTGGTCTCCAGAATCCTAGTCCAACACCCAAACCACTATGCCACACTGGATCTATGTTTGATGCTATGCTACCTTTATTAGCTAAATGCAACAAGGGCTATTGATCCAAAATACTTTGGGAGCAGCCTGGAGTATCCTGGCCCTGGACTGCCCCGACCTTCCTGCATTATTGATGCTGGGCAGTATTTGCATGTGTGTTCAGTTGTGTTGCTTGGCACTACTCAGTGGCAGCAAGTCGCTAGCTTCTGAGGTCAAAACAAGGCACCCAGCCTTGATCACAATGCTGGGTGCCTCATTCTGACCTCAGAGCTAGTGATGCACTGCATTTGTAGAAGTGATGGGTGGCACAGTGGGGTGCATTTTAAACAGCCTGCCAGCATCAGAATGGAGGGCTATGGATCTTCTGGGAAGATGCAGAGCAAACAGGGACTTATTTTTCATCATTATAGGAGGGGTATGCCCCAGGTTTGATGCTGATTGAGCCAGATGTCATCTGGATAGTTCATGTTAGACTCAGAGATTGTGCCCTGCATCATCTGGACTCCCCACCAAGAGTACAGGGGGAGGCCAGTTTAATTGGTGTTTATGTGTGTACATGTAGTCAATTTGCTGTTATTATGCAGTTGGTATGCATAATATAGGGGATGAAGTGGCTCAACTGTTGAAGATGCTGACTCTTGTTGTTTGCAAGATCGGCAGGTTGGCAGTTCAAGGCCCAGGTGCTGCATGATTGGGTGAGCTCCTGTCACTAGTGCCAGTTTCTGCCAACCTAGCAGTTCGAAAGCATGCAAATGCCAGTGATAAATCGGTACCACTAACAGCTAAACAGCGTTCTGTGCAATCATGCTGGCCATGTGATCACAGAGTAGTCTCTGACACTGCTGGCTCTTTGACTTAGTAATGGAGATGAGCACCATCCTCTATGGTTGGACATGACTTGACAACCTTGTCAACGGGGAATACCTTTACCTTTACCTGTGCATAATATGAGGGTTAGTGATGAGATATTGCATATTATCCTGACTAAGAATATGAATTGTTGTTGTTGTTGTGTGCCTTCAAGTAGTTTCTAACATGCTGAACCTATCAGGGGGTTTTCTTGGCAAAATTGGAGGTTTGCCATTGCCTTCCCCTGAGGTTGAGTGAGTGTGACTTGCCCAAGGTCTTCCAGTGGATTTTTTTTGGCTGAGCTGGGAATTGAACACTGGTCTCCATAGTTGTAATCCAACACTCAATGCACTATGCCACACTGACTCAAGAATATTAATCCCTATCTCAAATCTTCAGTCAGGCAAATTAAAGCCCTAAAGCATTGGGGAGGAACCTGTGCTCCTCCAGGTGTTTTAGACTCCAACTCCTATCAGCCCAGTTAGCATGACCATTAGTCAGGATTATACCAGTGCAACCAGAGAACTGTAGGTTCCCCATCCCTTCCCTAGAATAAACCTCTCAATCAGACTTGGTTCTTCATCTCACTCCATCCCCACTGCCATGTAGTTTAAGTGTACTATAAGAGGTCACTGTTAAGATTAAGGAAGATGGTGGAGGTCAAGGTGGGCAAAGTGAAGCTGGAGGTTGCATGTGGCCCTTAAGACCCCAAAAGCCCTCTAAAAGTTCCAGCCCCCATTTTTAAAAAGTGCTGGCTTATGGGAACTTTTTCTCCCTGTACCCAGCCACAAATGTAGAATTTTACTATCCTGACTCCAGAGTCCTTCATCCCCCCCACAAATCCCCCTAAATACAAAAATATCCTCCCAATTTAGCCCAAATGGTGGGCAGACATGATGCAATAGCAGTTCCAGTGTGCTAAAATGTGATGGTGCATCCCACAAGGCCCCCTCTCCTTCTATAGTTTCCCATCCCTGGTATAGGTGAAGCACTTGCAACACCCACAGAAGAGTTACATTAATCTAATCAAGATGTGAGCTTTCCACTGGGGAACTTTTCTGTCATGAGGGATATATGTTTCCATAACATGTAAACCCCAGTAGCTTTTGTGAAGTGGGAAGAGTACAGTTCTGCAGGAACATTTGGCAGGATGTCATGCTGAGTGAGTCTACTATTGGCAGATCAGAAGCCAGTCTGAAGATTAACTCAGTGCATTGACTCAAATTCAGGGGAAGTTGTCTTTCCCATAAATCACATGCCAAAGTCCTTGTTACAAGAATGTTGGTGTGCTAAATTGCAGTAGTACTTACTGCTAAATTGCATTAAATTGATGGGGATGGCGATACAGTGATGATGACAGAAAAGCCCTTTAGCTTCTTTTGCATCATTGTCACATAATTCAGCAACAGCATCCTCCTAGTTGCTCCATGAAGGTCCTGTGGTTTTGCAGATGGTGTAGCTGTTGCAGCCTCTCCTTTATTTTAGTTCGATCCAACATAATTGTTTCTTTGAATCCTGTTATGCCTCCCCATCCCCACCAGAGGCCACTACCATAAACCTATTTGATCTGCAAAATCTTCTTCATGGAGGCTTCCGTGGAAGATGATTAGTAGCTGTTAACACTATGGCAAAACCTCTTAAAGCATCATAATTCCATGGTGCCACGATAAAGCTGGGAAATGTTCCTTTTCTGTTTCCAAGGAATTGGGTTCTGGTGTTTGAGATAGTGGTTTATAAAGAAATTTGCTCTTTTTAGCCAGACCACAAGGCAGGTCAGGGCATATCTCAGTTTAGGCAAGCTGTGACATCAGGAAGGCTGTGTGCCAAGCCATTTCCTGTGTAGATATGTCCCTTATGCCTGCATTATAAAAACATTTAAATGTAGAACTCTGTAATTTTTACAGAAGCTCTGCAAAGACATTTTAAATATTTGAAGGGATGTCATGTAGAAGATGGAGCAAGCTTGTTTTCTGCTGCTCCAGAGACTAGAATGGGAACCAGTGTATTCAGATTACAAGAAAAGAGATTCCACCTAAACATTAGGAAGAACTTCTTACAGTAAGCCTTGGGATCCCTTCCTGCTCTATGACTGTATGTCTTTCTAATGATAATTATCATAGAATCATAGAGTTGGAAGAGACCACAAGGGCAATCCAGTCCAACCCCCTGCCATGCTGGGACTCAAAATCAAAGCGTCCCCGACAGATGGCCATCCAGCCTCTGTTTAAAGACCTCCAAAAATGGAGACTCCACCACACTCTGAGGGAGTGTGTTCCACTGTTGAACAGCCCTTACTGTCAGGAAGTTCCCCAGAGGTTGAGAACATGTGACTTGACTAACGATAATATTTATTTCTTACCCACCTCTCCCCATGGATGACAACAATGAACACACAACAACATCAGTTGAAAATACATCAGTCAAAGCACACATCAATTTAAAAGTACAAATAAAAATGTACACATATTAAAACAAGCCACATTTAAAATTTGTCATTTAAAATTCACAATTTACAAATCATCTGGTTGAGCCTGCTGGAAGAGATGGTCTTTAATGCTCTTTTAAATTCAGACAGTCTATTCAGCTGTCAAATCTCTTTATAATCACTGTGGGTCTCTCAGGTAAGATATAACAACAGTAATGGGGGTGAATGGGTTATACAGTGATCTCTCTCTCTCTCTCTCTCTCTCACACACACACACACACACACACACACACACACACACACACACCTTTCTATTTTCCTTGTGTCGGGAGATGAGAAGTATCTAAACAAGGTCCTTTCCTAGCCTGCCCATAGGCTTTACCAGCCCCACCTTTTGCCTTTTCATGGGAACAGTTACCTTACTTGCTGGTTCTTCCCCACAAACAAGACCTTCCAGTCTTTATCACATTTGTATCCCACCTTTCCTCCAGGACCTCTGGACAATCCTGTTTTATTATCACTACTTCCTGTTCTGGCAGATCAGCCCAAGAGAGTTAATGTGAGGCTAATTTAAAAACAGCAAAACAACAACATCATTTTGTTTTTAAAAAATGCATGAAGACTACTGAACAGTTTAGGCATGTCAAGTGTGACCTGATCACTTACAAATAAATAAAGGTAATCTGCTGATTTGGTTCTTATTATCCAGTGTTTTTAAAAAATGGAAGCCACAAAGTTTTTAAAAGCATTTAATGTTGTCTTTCCTCTTTAATGTGGATGCAATTAGTTAATGTGGAGTCTCATCCTAAGCATGTTAAATCCAAAGTAAGTCACATTGATGCAATTAGATGTCTAAATAAGTGTGCATTGTAGTTGAAACCTTCAAAGTAAAGAAAGCCTGGAAATTTTACATTTTGCACTACAACTCCCAGAATCCCCCAGCCAGTATGGGCAGTAGCCATGCTAGTTCGGTCATTCTGTGACTTGTGTCAACAAAAGTAATTTTTCCAATAAGGAGATGAAATAACAGTAAGATTCAATGCCCCAAAGAGCTGTGTCACGAAGAAAAAGGCAGTGTGACAATTGATCTGATACTGGAATGGACTCTCTTTCACTGATGGTCCTTTGTGGCAAGAGTGGACAACTATCTATCAAGAATGATCTAGCTTTAGATCTTTTGCATTGAACAGGGGGCTGGATGGGACTTACAACCCCCTCTGCACTGCCATTCTATGATTCTGTGGTCACTTTGTACACAGCAGTGTTAGAAGCTCGAGGACGAGGAATAGGCCAAGTCATTTGAGACCTGAGTCAAAAACCCCAAATGTTTTCCCTCCCCTCCTCTCCTCTGCATTCCCCACATGGGGCACTTTGATATTCTCCAGCTGCTCACCATGCCTATAGTTGAACATGTGTCTCCTTGTTATTCAGCTAGCTGGAGAAAGAAACCAAATGGGGGAGGAAGGGATTTTGGGAAGATGCTGACAGATAGGACCTGATGGGTAAGATTTCATTGTCCCCACTCTGGTGATTTTATGGCATCCAAAATCTGTCACTTGAAGGAGCAATCTTCCTTTCTCTTTTAGTCACTGTGCAGCAGAGATTTAGCCAGTGTGGTGCTACCTGGCCAAAGTCCGGAAAAGCATTGTTTTTGCTGACAGAAAAATGAAATGTGAATAGATATCTACCCCAACCCAGAAGGCATCTCATGCTTTGGCCATCTCCTCTTTCTTTATC